TGTTAGCACTATGTCTACTCTGTGAGCTAGCTGCAAAAATTTAAAGGTACTCATTGGGAAGTACAAAATCAAGCATAGAAAAGGTTGTCCTGAATTATATTATATCTAGCAATTTGAAAGCGTTTACTCTGGTAGTTTTAAACAAAACAAAACAAACAAACAAACAAACAAACAAAAAAAAAAAAAATATATATATATATATATATCGATATGCAGTTCTGAAATGCGGGTATGCACTCAGTATAAACAAAGCACTCAGCAGATGTTGCTGCATACCCAGCTGAAGTATAAGTCATGTCTTTGACCTACATTAGGCTGGCTGTAGTCTGTGTGTGACTGCATATTTCACAAATACGGTGAAATCAAATGAGTAAAATGTCTGAGACGTTTAGTTGGAGATATTAAAGGGAATTTATCATTGAACGGAAATGAAAGGAAAAAGAATAAGTAAGACAATTGACTAAAATGAATCACAAATGTTCCTTACCATTGCTAAAATTTAAATGTGCATGGAAATATTGTGTATACTTTTTACCTTTAAGCTTCATGTGTAACCTTCCTTTCATGATAAAGTTTATATTTTGTGGCAAGCTTGAGTCATGACCTCTGGACAGATTCTTCTTTGTAAATATTTTGATTTTCCCACATTTTCCAGTAGCATTTTTAGACTCTGCTCACAACTATATTGGTGTGTCATCAAAGTTATATCTGTGTATTCAATGGCAATAACATATCATTAATAATAACTTTTCACTAAAGATACAACAACAGAAAAAGTTCTCCATCCATGGTTAGGGCGGCTCTGTTTGGGACACACTGTCATGCTTCTGCCTTGTTTTCATCCTGTGGTGTCTCAACAGTAGCCACAGAATATGAGAGCGAAACATGAACTAGTCTGCTGCTGTGGTGGTTGCGGTTTCTCTCTAAGCCACATTTATTACCTCTAAAAATACAAAGTGGTTTTCCAAATAGGCCTAGTTCCTGTTCTGTCCAACTACATCTGTAAAACTTGTATCTGGGTGGATTATGATTAATTGACATGACCATCTGAGCCCTTCAGTTGGGGGGAGAGTGAGTTCTGCAGCTACAATGTTCATGCCAATCTTTATAAAAATTCACAAAGTCTACTTGATCCCTGGTTGACAAAAAGCCTTATTATGTCACTCATAAAAAGTCCCGACTTTTTTATTTAAAGTTTGGACGCAGGGCCCATTTTTCTTCTTTCCGTCTTGCACCTTTTTCATCTGCAGAAAGCAGTCTGGGTTTGTCCTAAATGATATGATGCCCATTTGCATAAAGCCTAGCTAATCTGCTTTCTCAATGGTGAGGTAATGTCTCGGCAAGTCGTTCAGGGAAGCAGGAAAAACATACCCACCAGAAGCAGCTAATCAATAAAGTGTGGCAGACTTATTTAGCAGGTTTTTTTATATTTATGTTTTTTATTTTGGCAGGAATGTTTTTAATGCACACGTAATAAGAGTTTATTCATTACTTTAATAAACAATGAATTAAAGCTGAGCACCTTCCACTGGCACTTGATCCTATGCGACACCGTAAGCGAGAGCATTCGACTCATTTACTGTAGATTGTATATTTTAAATACAGTCTCTGTTTCACCTGTTTGTCTGGATGACTTGGAGATTTATGGAGCTTGTCAAGAGGCAGATGGATTTGAGCTCTCAGTTTCAGTGACACAGCACACTGCCTCTCAAACCATCAGATGTGTGTGTGTGTGTGGGGTTGACAGGGCAGGGGCATGTCTTAAGGTAAGCAAAGGCCTTTCGACATATTTATTTTTCTCCTTTGAGGCTTTTGACCAGCTCTCCTCGTCAATCTTGTGCTGTCAAGGAGAACCAGAGGTGGGAACTGCCAACTCTTTTTCTCACAGGGGCCACGGTGTACATGGGGACCCCGGGGTCAGGCCCTGGAAGCTCCTTTAGTTACTGTTGTGAAATCCTTTCTTTGTGCTCTCACATAGACAAGCGGCCGTCTCTATTCTCGTTGTTGTTTACACTTTTAGGGGTGAATAAATAAAAGTCATCCAACGCGGTAAGGCTTCAGCAGTTCAGCAATGCCGACTCAGCACCAGACCTGAAGGGTTGATTAATTTTCTACAGAAAATGTTACATGTAGCTGCAGGGAGAGTAGGTGGCAGCTGAAGGCTGTGATGAGAGACTTGAGCAACAGGGAGAATAGAATGACTTAACTGAACCAAGTTTGTACATGTGTTCCCCCATCTGACACGCGTGTGTTTCTGATCTTGCCGTTTTTCTGGGAGAGGAGAATGTTTCCTGTTTAAGCAGACTGGTGGGTTCACGGAGGAGTCGGCGGGGGTCGGGTTCCCTTCAGTCGGCGTCTGGTTCTGCTGAAGCAGATTCCCCACATCTCCATCAAACAGCAGCTCCGCTTTGGCACGTCTCTGAAAAATGACCCTAGTGATCGCTGTTGTTTTGGTGTGTGAGCCTTTAAACACTGTTTTCTGCTCTGTTGTTGCCCTCGAGTTTGAAGGAGACAAACATCAAATGATTCTTGTTCACATTGCTGTGTTTATCCTAATCAAGGGTGCAGTCTTAACAAATAGTCCTTTTTTTGTTTAAAAAAAAAAACAAATCTGGAATTTGTAGCAAACATTAAAGAACACATATGCTCACAATTTATTTAATGTTTTTTTGTTTGTGTCCTTTCAGCCCAGTCATTTGTACTTTTCGATGATGTGTTCGAGATTACAGACTTTATTAAAACAGCTGTAAACAGCTGGATCATAACTTTTATATAATTTTCATAATTGCTAGTGCACAATCCTTGACATTTTTTATTACAACTACAAGAAATATTTTAGAAATAACCTGTAGTAGGATTTTTTTTTCTCCACAAAATTGTTAAAAGTTGAATGTTATCCAACAACCTATGTTTTTATAATTAAACGCATATAACGATGCCGACAGTGCTCTGACTACACAGACATGAGAGCAAGCTATATATATATATATATATATATATATATATATATATATATATATATAGTAAAAGTGTGAACGTAATATCTCACTGAGCTGCAATTAGTTGGCAAACGGTATTTATGTGTCAAAACTAAAATTTAGCAAACTTTCTCCCTATTTTCCAGCAGTTTTGACTCTTCTCCCCTCAGTATTAGCTCGATGAGAGTGATTACCACGTTTAATCTGTGGATCAGTTTGTCTATGTCAGGGGTCTGCAACCTGTGGCTCCGGGGCCACATGTGACTCTTTGGTACCTCTGCAGCAGCTCTTTCAGGCTGTAACCAAAACTAAAATAAAACTGAATTTTATTTAAATTATTACCACCAAAAAATGGCTAGTTTTAGCAGATTTCCTGTCATTTTCAAACATGTAAAGAATAGTACAAATATGAGGCGTAAAACATGTGGACTGCATCATGCTAGGAGTATGTTAGTCACTTTGTTAAGTTAACTTCCAGTCTCTCAGCGTGCTCTTTCTCTCAAAACCAAATTGTTTTGGAATATCTTTAGACAAGCTGCTGAGACGGAATATGATGAGTAACTTTGATAACACTAAGAATAAAACATAAAAAACATTGTCAAAGTAAACAAAATATTTATTTTTCTTTAAAACTGTAACTAGATATCCAACAAACTGGCCAAATTTTATACAGTCTTTAACTTTATGCTTTAAGTAGGATATTTAATTATTCAACAATTAAGAGAACTTTCATTGGCATGCAGAGTTCAGTGTTTTCATTTTTATAAAATTGTTAAAATTATATATTTTTTCTTTCTTCACATGAATCTGGTCTTTTACTTTGCATTAAAATGTAAAAATATCAATAAATGTTAATAATAGACATTTTTCATTTTATAATTTTGCACCCTCTTGCTGGAAAAGCCATCTCCAACTAACTTGGGCCGCCAGTTGACAATACGGTACACAGTTGTAGGTGTTGCGGCTCCGGACATCGTAATTAGTAAGCAAAGTGGCAAAAATGGCTCTTTTTATCGCAAATGGTGCAGACCCCTGGTCTATGTGCATCTTTGACCTGTTATCAGAGTCTTTGGTTGTAAACAGTAACAGAGGGTAGAACAGGGTCGTCTGCTGACTTGACTGAAAGACAAATTTGTGATGATATTCTATCTGATATACGAGATGGGAGGGGCTGAGTGTATGCGTGCATATGTGTGTGTGTGTGCATGTTATGTGTGTGTATGTGTGACAGAGAGAGAGAGAGAGATTGTGTCTGCCCGGTCATGTCCAGACTAGTTTCTGTCTTGCTAATAAAAAAGTTCTCGCTTTAGTTTTGGAAACTGATCTTCCCACATAAGTTTAAAGATGTGATTCACGGTTCTCACTGTGTTTGCCCCCTAACGTCTCACAGCAGGGGTCTTGGCCTAAGGTCATGATTAATGGCGTTGCAGGTCTGCCTTTGCGCACCGTAAGTTAGACGGTGTTCACATGCAGATAAAACAAATGTTGCGCCAGCAGCACTTAGATGAGATATTACTTAGCACTGAATGTCCTGAGTAGTTATTGCTGTGTAGTTTTATTAGTCCTCATTAATCATTCTCTTTTTATTAGTGTTAATTTCTTAAAATTACTTATTTTGATTAAAATAAATTTAAAGCAAATGTGGAAAATTCATGACTGACCCCAGATTTATAAGCAGGGCTATTCAACTAAACTGCTCAGGGGGCCACAGTTTCTGAAAGCCAGCAGCTCAGGGGCCGGACATCCAACGATTAAAGTCATTATGAAAATAAACCCAAGTTTTACAATGATCTGCTATCTTTTAACTTTGTTTATTTTATTGCATTGAATCATAAATGCAGTAAACTGAACCCGAAACCAAAAACAACCCAATTTTTTTTATTTTATTTATGAAGTTATTGGTGGACCAGACTGAAGTTGAATAGCCCTGGTGCACATGTATCAACCAGAGCCTTCTGTGTGCATTGTTAGCCTCAGTTTACATTCAGTACTTTCTGTTTTGTTGTTTGTACATTTTTTTAGTGTTTCCGGGCAATGTGCTGTAAAGGACCCCCACCGCCAAGACCAGAGTACGATGTGGTGTGCATCGGCCTGACAAGTGCCGGAAAGACCAGCTTGCTCTCACGCCTGTGTAGTGAGAGCACTGACGGCATCGTTCCTACAACAGGTACGTGCTAAGTCCATGTGGCGTCACATTAATGGTAAAAAGGGAAAGTATTTGCACTTGGAAGCAAACACAGGTAAAACCATTTCCTTTGCGTGGACGCTTTCAGAGCTTTAGAAACGTCTTTTATCTTGTCATTCAGACTAAGATCATGGAAATATTTCACTATACAGGTTTTCCAGCCGGGGGGGAATAAATGTTCTCCCTGTGCGCTCAAAAGTCCCAGTGTTTGTTCCAGAATGGATGTCAGGATGTCACCAGCCAAAGCGTGGCTTCTTTGCTCCATTTAAGTTGGAGGCTGGCGTTAAGCACGTCCAGGAGAGCAGGAGGCTTCTGTGTTTAGTACATAATTTTCCCAGTGGTGAGCACTGCTTTCCATATATGCAGCGCAGTCCCTTAAGAACACCGACATTCCTCCCTCCTCCCCTGGCTTTGACAGCGGTGATGTTGAGCTGTTGCAGAGGTTCCATTTGAGATTTAGTCTTTGTCCAGTAGAAGCTAAATATAAAGCAGTCCCTAAATGTGCAGTAAATCTGTTTTTCTCTCTGGATTGAACTTTTGTGTATGCCTGCTGCTAGTCACTCCTCAACAGAAAAAGTATGCATGTTACTTAATATGTATTATAGTTGAGGTAACTATGACAGCTAACATTTACAAATGAAGAAGAATAGCAAAGGTGAACATGAGGGAACGTTGCGTCCCTCACATTATATTTACCTATTAGACTGTTGCTACGTGCTTAAAAACAAAGCTTAGTGGTTTGGAAACTCATATACATACCTCCACCTGCTAGTGTTGTTAAAACTGAACTACTGCTCAGAAAATGAAGCACAATTTGAGACAAATTATATCTGTTCCTCCTTTGGTTTCCTTTACCGTGTTCTACTGTTTCCCATTTCCAGCCACAGAAATAAATCACATAACCCAGAGAGGCACTTTACACATTTAGTTTTCTTCAGCTGAACCCACTGAAGCCCTTTCAGCTCAGCTTCTCGTCTTTTTTCCTGATATATAAACTGGACTGCATAAAAATGTTTACAACTTCAAATGTGTTTTCTGCCCTAGAATGGGGCTCTCTGAATATTCTCTGTAACCCTAAATATGAAATGAAATGGATATATGGTAATAAAAAAGAGCCAAACTCAGCATTGTTTGAAAGTGACTTTAAAACAATTTATTTTATTGTAAAAACAGTTTTATTTTTCTCCTCTTAGGTTTTAGCATCAAAGCAGTGCCATTTCCAAATGCCATCTTGAATGTAAAAGAACTCGGAGGTAAGAGACGCACGCCGAGTCTTCACCTTCAGAATTTATCCTGATGCATGCGCAACAATCCAGGCAGAAAAATCTAACAAAGTTAAGTCGGGTCCTCTGGACGGATTTAAAAATAAAAAATTGTTGAAACGTTTCGTCTTTTATCCAAAAGGTTTTGTCAGTCTGAGGAGCTGCACTAAACTCAGTCTTATAAACAGCACCTAGCATAGTAGAGCAACCAGTTTACTGGTGACAGCCAAAACTAGCTGTTCACATGATCAAGGATGACCATCAGCCTAATGACCGATCGTTAGTGCCCTGATGGCCACTTGCTATTCACAGAGGGCCGTTTTGATATAACAGCATTGTAGGGGGGGGGGGGGGGGGGTTGAACCCGGAGGCCTCCACCCCTGTTTAATGATGGACAATTTCTTTTCACAAAGATGGCCTCCTTTACTCCTCTCTCAAACCATCGTTCCTCTCTATCAAGGATGTGAACATCTTCATCCCTGAAAGAGTGACTGCTGGTCTGCAGATGAGTGTAGACCGCAGAGTCCTGCCCTGATGATGTTGCTCTTCTGTGCTGGGCCATCCTTAGTTTCCCCCATGTAAGACTGATCACAGCCCTCCTGTCACTGAACAGCATACACAATATTACTCTGTTTGTGCCGGGGGACTGGATCTTTGGGATGGACCAGTCTTCAGCCACTGGGATGTCATGTTTAGAAAATTAACATCTCAGTTTTTCTGAAACTCCTTCAACATACGGAATGACCACCATGGCCATCAGGGCATTAACGATCGGTCGTTAGGCTGGTGGTCCTCCTTTATCATGCGAACAGCTAGTTTTGTCTGTCACCAGCAAATTGGTTGATCTGGTTGTATAACTGGTTTTGTATTTTTATAATGGATTTTTTTTAAGCTATTGTAAGCCAAGTATCATACAAATAGCCACTGTTCTTTTTAATGTAACTAGAAAGTTTTTATTTTCTTCCATCTTCAGAGTTTCTGTTTTGTAATGTGCTGAACTAAACACAGAGTGAGAATGTACTACTGCTTGTTTTGATGTGACTTCCTGTTAGTTTACCACAAATCCTCTTCAAAACATGTTGTTGGAGTGTTTTAGTACATGCAGAATTATTTTCCTGTTAACAATAATAATGATTTTATGCTTTTCTTCTTCAAAATAACATCTACTATGTATGCCAGTGTTGCTATTGCACTGGCTTTGTTTGTACCTTGAGCAGAAATACACCTTTGGATGTGGCGCAGGCACGTGCGCACATACATCAGGCCCTGTTAGTGTTTTCTGAAGTGGTTGTACAATCTGCAGCTTCCTATTCCTGGAAATGTCCAGCGCTCAAGGAAGCCTCAAGAGAGCTCTACCTCTCCCACAGGCGACTTAGCAAGGCAGCAAATAGATTTAGTTTAGTTTAGTTGTAGTTATGTTTATCTGTGGACTGTAGACATACAACAGGTGCAGAGTATATCAAGGCTAATTCAAACTGAGCTGCCCCTCTGAAAAGAAAGGATGAAACTCGTACGCTGACACACAAACATATCACACATACACAAAGAGGCACCGGGAGGACCACCAAAGAGGATGCTACCAAATTTGGACAGAACACATTAGATGGTTTTCAAAAGAGGTTTTACTGGATGGGGTCAAGGCCAGTCTGGTGGTGGTAACGTTATTGTGGTTGGAAAACGCTCGTTCCACGGATGACAGATTTGATTTAGAGATGCTGGTATAGACTGCCACCACCGCAAAGGAAGATGAAAACTGTTCTTTTTTTTTCCTGTTTGCCCTCCCCCTGCTTGGACTCCTGCTCCTCTGCCCCCTTTCTTTTTCAGCACATGCACTGAGATCAGGAATTTGCGGGATTTATGCAATCGCCATGCTGGAGATGGTAGAAACAAGCATGTGATGCACATGTGTTGACGCCTCTACGGGCTACCACTCATTTGGAGCGGATTATTGAGTTTATAGGTCTGTTTGAAGTGAGATGTTGACATGTTACACTGCGTAATCGGCGTGTACAACTTATTCCAAATGTCTGACGTAAACGTGGAGTCAGGAGAGAGTTGCGCAATATTTCACCGGTCGGTTTTCACAACAAGGTCCTTTTCTGATTAAACGCTGCACTTTTTATACAGTCTGGAACTTGCTCAACACTTTCCCTTTCCGTTGTTTTTTTATGGCCCTTATCTCTATGTCTTTAACAAAAACAGCAACAAACATATCTGGCGTACTTTTTTCGTTATTTTGATGTTCACTAATGATGCAGAAAACGACACAATGTGACGCACAGCCATAAGTATTTCGGCTGAAACACTTTGTTTTATACTGCAGTGTTTTGTTCCTTCCTTTTGACTAAGGCTAAGACGGAAACACAAGCAGTTAGAAACAAGGCATTTTTCTCAGCTTTTTAATTTACCCTGGCTGAATGAAATAACTTTTTTCTTTAGGTTAACACTGTAGATGCAAGTGCAATTTAGATATTTAAGTTCTGATATGATCTTTTTAACTCAGTTATGGCTTAATTAAGAGTTCAAACGTTTTTCTAAGCCGTGACTTTGTCCTTAAACTACACCCACAAAACTTTGAATCAAGAACATTTTGTTTTAAAGCTCAAGTCGGTTTTATTGTCTTGAAGTGGTAAACGTTTAAACACGATGTTCACGCTGTTCCCATTCAGCTGAAGTAATCGAAGCCAGTCGTTCCCAAACTTTTCAGTTTCTGATCCACAAATAGCAGGAAAGTCTTAAATGACAAGAACTGATAAATATTCATCAATGGCACATTTTTTGTCTATTTTCCTTGAATTCAGGAAAGCATCACAAGTCTCTTCACTTGTTTTGTGACTCCCAGTGAGGTCTTGACCCCAACCTTGGAGACACTGATCTAAGCTATGCTCAGAATTTAGCAAACTGCCATACATGCAAAAAATAAAAATAATAATAAAAATCAGTCTCTCTGAACCTGAAGGTCCAACTCCGATGACAGACAGGCGTCCAGTCCCTGATGATGCCTGTACCAATAGTTTCACTCAAACTTTTGTCATCTCTGCTATCTTTTCATGCTCTTTACTCAGTTAGTTTTTTCTGTTCTGGCTTTCTGGGTTTCATATCCTTTGGACTTCACAATTTCATCTAAATTGTGTTGCAATTTCAATTTTTTGGGGGGGCCTTTGTTAGTTTTCTCTCTTCCAGGTTTTCTCTTTGCTAAAGATTTCCTTTGCATGCCATCAGTTCTTGATGAAGAACACTCCTAAAACTCCCCTTGACTCCCTTGAGCCGTATAAGCAGTCTGTTACAAATCTCGGGATGGTTTTAGACTCTGACTTTAAGTTTAATAAACCGATTAACTCTGTTCTACAAAAAAGCTTCTTTCAGTTAAGGCAGATAGCTCCATGTTGACCAGATCTGACATGGAAAAACTTGTCCATGCCTTCATTACAGCCCAGCTAGAATACTGTAACTCGTTTTGTGTTGGGGTCAGTCAGGTGTCCCTCTCACGCCTCCAACGCGTCCAAAATGCTGCAGCTCAGCTATTAACAGGAACGTGTAGGCTTGAGCATATTTCACCAGTTTTGTCCTCCCTTCACTGGCTTCCTGTACGTGTCAGAATTGATTTGAACATTCTCCTACTGACATTTAATGGCATAAATGGCCTTGCACCCTCGTACGTCTCGGAGCTACTTCAACCTTATGTTCCTTCTTGGGCGCTGATATCATCTGACGAGCTGCTTTTGGTTTTACCAAAAAAACAGATTGAAGCTCAGAGGAGATCGGGCTTTTTCAGTTGTGGGCCTTAAACTTATGAACAATCTGTGCCCCTCAACACTAGACAGGCCACCTCACTCCCTGCTTTTAAATCTCTCCTAAAAACACACCCGTATTCACTGACGTTTAACACAGTGTGATTTGAGTTAGTATTTCATTGTTTCTCATAGTTTTTGTGTTTTTATGTTCATGTTTTTAGTGCTTTTAATTACATCTTATTATTTTTTCTTTAATTACTGCCTTGATCTTGTTGTTAAGCTCTTTGAATACAGCTGCTGTTTTAAATGTGCGCTATAAATAAATTTGACTTGACTGAAATACCTTTTTTTTTTTGTTAAAATCTCAGTGTTTTAAATGACCTATTTCTTGCCATATTTCTTGCATTATTTGGAGTTTTTATAGCACAGATTTTTATTGGGTAAACAATTCAGTCTAAACAGTTTTGTGTGCATTTATGTGTCTGGCGTCATATGACTTCATAAAATCATATTTGAAAGAAGCGTTAAAATTTCAAGAAGAATAAAAGTGATCGTTTCATTGGCTTCACACAGAATTTTGAATCTGGGTGATCGATAGTCCCACAAGCATTCGCTACTTTGGTGTCAGGTAGAAGGCTTAGACGAGAAGGGCACCTCTGGTGTGTGTCGGTGTGCGTGTGTAGGTGTGTGTGTGTGGATAGTGATATGACGTCAAGTCTAGACGGGCAATTTCACACTGAGCATTCATGTCACGCAGTGACAGCTGATAACATGGTCCTAATAATCACAACGCACTGCTGTTCCCCTTTAGAGCTGTGGCTGTGGTTGAGACTTGCACTTTTTGATTTGAAGTGGATGGTTTTGCTCAAACAAACTGATCGTTTTGCTTTATTTTAGGTTTTCTTTGTTAACACATAGAATTTCACATTTTTAGCCTTTTATTTGGAAAAGAGCAAATTCTTTACTGACACTAATGAAGAATGCACACAAGATGTGTGGAGCACGCTCAGTTTAGACGGGCTAGGCTTTTATTATCCTGCCACCCTGAAGGACGTAGAAGAAAAAGAGGAAGATGAAATAACATGGCGAATCATTTGTCAGCCCCCTCTAACCAACAACAGGCAAAGAAAGTATGCAGGCACATCTTTGAACAAAACCAATACGTGGTAGTCATCACAGATCAAATGTGACACGTAACACTATCAAATATCACCACAGTTTGAGTTTGTACGCCCAGCAGGGAAGCTTCTCCAACTG